CGTCCGACTCAACCCATCAAGCGAGGTACCCGAGCAATCCCATCCAATGACAGACCGTCCAAGTCGGAAGAAAACATCTGCTGGCCTCGGAAAGGGTGTACGGAACTGATCGTACATGCGTAAGAGCCGCAGCGCGCCGACGTACGAAACCGCTCTGTATCCACTGTATTTTATGCAGCTTGTGCGGCCCTCTCATCACTGAGACCAGTGGGCGGTGGAGTTTATGCTCCGAAGATCTTGGACCGCGCTCAGATATCATTATGTTCTTTTCTGGAACGTGGATGGGGTGCTCCGCGGACTAACGAAACTCCGGCTGCAGACCACCATACTGTCAGCGGCAAGCGTTTTCGCAAGCCCTGGTCTAAGCTGAAGCTTGAATGGTGGAGTTCGATGCGATGATAGCAATCTATCCTCGGAGTGAAGACCGGCCGGCCTTAACACTGGTGGCGGATCTCCAGAACTCCAGACCATGACTCTTCGAAAGAGGTCGAATTCGATCAAACGTGTAGGTATCAGTGCAGATCCCGATCTACACGTCCAGGCTTCGAGGGCAGAATGTACCGTATGCCTATGCTCCGCATCGGTCGGAGGCCAATTCCGAGAGGTCAAAGTGTTCTCACGGAATTGATTCATCGGAGGAGATCATGATGTTCATGGTATCGCAGATTCCCCTTGCCTCCCCCCCCCTGCGCACGCCACTGGCTCCCTTATGTTCACATAATGATTGCGCTCTACCCGCGGTCGCGATCCTTCGGGCGCTCGATCATCGGTGGCGCCCTCTGCCGGGAAGAGCGTGAGTTTCGTCTGCTCTGAGAGTCAAACAGCGTTTTAGGCGCTCTGTTTGCTTCGGGCAGTCGCTCCTTAGGGAAACAATTCTGATGAATTTGACAGAATCGAGTCGGAAAACTTCGTTGACCGCTTGACCCGCTAGTCAGGAGGTTCCCTCGGAACGAGTCGATCGGTGAGTTCCACTTCCTCGAGCGTATCTGATCCGTCAGCGCTCTCTTAGGTTTCCTCAGCTTCATATTCTGGGTCAGTCATTTTGCCTTCGCGGCGATTTTTATCGCGCTTGCGATGCTCGTGCACGTCAAACTCGACGGGAGCTGGGTTCTCGATAGGGTGGGAGCAAGCCTACGACCGCCGGCTTCCTTCATGCTTTCCCATCCAATCCCTTGAATCACGGCTCTGGTTCAGCGAGCATCGCCATGGGCCTCCCGGGGTCCGACAACCCCCGATTGGGACCGCATGCAAACTTCCGCCGAAGGAGTGTGAGCTGGCCTCTTCTCGTGCGAGGAGTTTGCTCAGTAAATCGCTGGCTCGCGGGGAACGTGGAAATCCCTGGGCGCAACAAGTTGGTATTAAGCTTTCGCTGGCGGCGGGCGAACGTCAATGCACGCGAGTCGTCGCGAATCGGTTCAAATGAAAATCGTTGGAAAAGTCGCTGAGGCGCCCAAGACTTCGAGCCGAGCTGGGAAGAAGTCTCCTGAACTGGTTCGGTGTATCTTTGATCGAATTTCCTCGTTTTGGAACAGCGGAGCCCTCGAGAAAAGGCGCGACTGCGGTAACAAGACTCCGTGACGGCTCCCCAACACCTGCCTCCGAGCAACGAAACGTTCGGACTGGCATTGTAGTCGCTTCGGTGTATACGCCGTGGGGAATCAATGATTTTTCGGATGAGAATCCCGCGCTCACTTGAGCTCAACGTGTCAATTGCATAGGTGTGTTCGAAGGCGAACGAGCATTTTGGCGGGAGCCTTTTGTCTCTCAATGGTAGATACTAGTTTAGAAGTGGCGGGCTGGATTGGCGCCCGAACGTTCCAATGGCGCACCATCTGATTTAACGAGAGTATCGGGCGGTCATCACGAATCAGAATTTCGAGCGATAACGTTCGGTATTGATGACATTCCGGTGGAAACTTTCGAGTTTTCTGTTCGAATCGAACTTCTCGAAAGACTCCGAAAAGACTGCCCGGAGCTGTGATATTGATTTCGGCTGGCTCTCGGTGATCAATGCTCGTCATCAAAAACGTGAGTGATCCGGCGCGTGGCGGTTTCTGTTTACGTACCGAGTTGAGTTTCTAAAAACATCTGAAGCGCCATCGGAAGAGATGCCCGGGTGCTCTTTTCTCTGGAAGACGGGTCGGGTTTGTGGGAGATGGCGTTTCCTGTCCAATTTCTCGAGATCGAATCCGAGTGCTGATCGATTATCGTAGCACACCTGAGGAGGACTTGTGCAAATCTCTGGTCCATCCATGCGTTTTTCAGCGAACGACCTTGGTTTGCGAGAGCCGCCCTCATAGGAGGCTCTGGAAAGTATTCGGCTGTTCCCGAACTTCTTCACTCCAATCGAGCTCTGAGTTGGCTAATATGTAGCGGTCGCCGAGACTAGGGGGATAGATTAATACACGCCGGAGCCGTGAAGTCCCAGAGGAAGCCGGGCTGTCTTCGGTGGGATAGTTGAGCCCCGGAATGCAAATTGATTACCTTTTCCCCAGGTAGCCAAGATGTCCCAGAAGAAACAGATCAAGATCACCACGTTGTTGGGCAATGCTGACAGTTCCGTGGAAGCCGAATCCTCCAAGAAGGGCTCGCGGAGACGAAGTCTTCGAGAAACCCCGAGCACCTCGTCAACCACTCCCAGTATTCTGGGCAGGAAGCGGAAGGACCAAGTGAGTGCTTGAACCGAAAATTCACCTTCCCGAAACCCCTGCAGCTCATGTACCACGGGGGGAATGGTGTTCGAAAATTCTGAATTGCTTCATTCTGTTTTCAGAGCCCGTCGACCATGTCAACGCCTCAGAAACGGGCGCGTATGCCCCTGTCGGTCTTGGAAGTGACTCCTGAAGCTTCCATTCGGAATTTTCTCTTCAATGCTCGGCGACCGAAAGCGATGCCGGCTAATTTCAAATGGGCGAACGGCGACGATTTGTGGACGACTCTGATGAGGTCGAATAGTCACGTTGCCTCCATGAGCAAAATCCTCGAGCAGAACCCGGCTTTCAAACCTCAGATGAGAGCCATCCTCTTAGACTGGTTGATCGAGGTTTCTGAAGTCTATCAATTGCATCGAGACACCTACTACCTCGCCATGAACCTCTTCGATAGGTGCGTAGTCTCCTTGTAGATATTCGAATCCGGAAGAGATTCCGTCCTTCCAAGCTCTGACCAACATAGTAGGGAGTCAAATCAGAACTGGAGATATCGCGCGGATTTGCACGCAGAGAATTCAGATTGTAGTACCCTGTCGGAGAGAACGACGCCGACGTCCGCCAGAGGGTGTGCGTGACCGCCCTCCCTTCGCGACCGGTGTTTGCGCTACTTTCCCTTGAACTTCCTCGCTTTTTCGAGCTCGAATCTTATATCTATTCACAAGGAGGCGTCTCTAACAATTCTCGAATCGCTTGCAGGTACCTCCAAGCGACGGAGAACTTGCCCAAAGACCAACTCCAACTCGTCGGCGTTTCCTGTCTTTTTATTTCCGGCAAAATGGAGGAAATCTATCCGCCCCAAATCAATGAGTATTCGTATGTTTCGGACGGTGCTTGCGAGGAACGCGAAATCATTGCTAAGGAAATGGCCATTCTGACAAAACTCAAATGGGACATTTGTCCGATGACGGCAAACAATTGGTTGACATTGTTCCTCCAGTTGTCACAGCTGCAGGAAAGCGCAGCTGGCGAGTCCGAGAAGAAGGACTTGTACGTAGCCGACATCTGTCTACAGGAGTTCAACATTTGTGCACAGCTGCTCGATCTCTGTACTCTCGATATGGAAAGTATGAACTTTCCTCCGCAGCACTTGGCAGCCTCAATCGTCTTTCATGTTTTGGGTGTTGAAGAAATGGAACGGGTGAGCGGCGTCACCGTCAGGGATGTAGAGGACTGCGTTCAGTGGGTGAGACCTTTTTCGCAGACGTTGCGAGAAGAATCTCCCGCGAAGCAAGGCGGCACAGCAGAATTCAACAAGCAGGCTTACAATGTCAGTTTGAGACTGCTCGAGAAAGCCCAAACTCTCAAAAACCAGTTGGCAGCGACGGCGCTCATGAAAACACCGACCTCGAGCAGGAAGAGGACGGCTCTTCCGGAATCGTTCATGACACCACCATCGTGCTCGAAGACGATGCGGAGCGAAAACGACGAAAACCGCCTCTGACACGACTCGATGAGAAATCTGAGGGGAGAAGAGGAAAAAACGAAAAATGCACGATGCTCGTGACTGAAAACGATTCATTAAGAGTTAGACTGTGAGTTCTCGAAGGAGAATAGGATTTCTCCTTCTTCCCGCCCGTCGGCGAGCGCATGTGTATAATATTGTGTCTAGATAGAGTCACTAGAAGTTTATGATATGAAGAATGTAGGCGTTGCGACTGAGACGGAGGAACTATTTAAACGAAAGAGAGCATTGTAGATGTGAAATGAAAACCTGTATTTTTGGTGTAGGACGAAAACTGCTCAAGCGATCACTTAGAAAGACCTCCTCAATAAATAATTACTTTGCTCGAAGGGAACCCCTCGTTCGCTCTTCCGCTTACTCTCCTCATCATCTTTGGCATTCGATTGTCTTATCATCTTGGTCTAACACACCCCAGGCAACAGACAATATGACCCAGCCTGATCGATCCGGGGGTCTCTCTTACGCTCGACGGAGCAGGAAGATCCTCTGCATCTCGTCTATCGTGACGTCTATACGCGACCGTGACGCTGGCTTTCTACCCTCCGCTGTGAACTTTCAATCATGCGGTCTTCCTCCGCACACATTTCGAGAGATCAATCTCCTCGAGCAACACGGGGATTGAGAGAGCTTTGCAGACACCGGATCTCCTGAATCTTTCGAAAACGCCATCCGGGAGCATTGATCCTATTTCTCATTCATCCTCCGAATACAAACAATAGTACTAACTCTCAAGGGGATCCCGCCACGAAGCCGATTCAGGGCATACGCTCCAGACCAAGTTCGACTCCTCGACGACCGAGGCTTGCGATGGATGTAGTCTACCGCCTTCTTATGACCGACTTGATCATAGTGAGCCTCATGATTCCTCAGCAGCCGGATGCGCGGCAGGCGTCGAGATGAAGATAGGGTACGTACCACTCGATAGGGACCGTCTGTGAAGAGATGGAGTCGGAGACCACATGACGACTCTCTTCCTGCGCCGTCCAAGGGAGCTGGACATACTCTGGGGTCGACCATCACCGATGTGACCTCTGTCGGACAACAGCTTCTTCGCTGTGACCAGGAGGACATACCCTCCACCTAGGCAGGGAGCGCCCTTCGGAATTCGGACGTATGTCTGGCGGAAGAGTACAACAGCCAGGAAGCGGTGTCCATTAGCTGTACTCAGCGGACATTGAGTGGTAGCGTCCTGCTCGCATGAACCAACGGGTTCGGAAAAGTCCTATTCACACAGCCCGAATCATCTCCCATGAGAAAAATGCGTAAAATACGACCCTCAACTTCCTCACGACTAAGAAACAGGCATGTATGATCCATACGGCTTGAGTTAGCCGGCCGTCGGCAGTGCTTCGTGAAACTCCTGTCCGAAATGCGCGGGAACCCCACCACCGTATTCACTTTCGATCCATCAGCTATCTCGCGTGTGATCAGGACGAACACGGAACGAAGCAACTCTCTATGAAGCTGCGGCAATACGCTCCACAGGTACACTTCAGAGATCGCTTAGCAAGTCATCCATGAGGTACCAAATCCCGGAATGGGGCTGCGCCGAGAGAGACGCGAAACAGCGCGGGAACCATGAGAATGAGACGCGCTTGCGCGGCGTGCCACAGCCGTCATGGAAACATTGATTCCGAGTTTTTTTTGTGCCTCGTGGTTCGCTTAGCACAAACTTCATGTAAGTAAGAAAGATCAATACGTCGAAAATCCAAAACTCCGAACTAGGGGTGGACTCGGTTTGCGGGTTCGTGGACAATGACGAATCTGGTGAGGAGTGCAGCTGCCCGCTCCTCGTGGACGTCTCAGTCTGTCATCGGTAAAGTATTCGTCTTCCGAAGCATCATATATCATATGTGAGTTCTTTCGAGAAGCGGGAGCACTCCCTCTCCATTTAGTAAGCTGCACAGGGCTCGGAGAGTCCCGGACTCGATCTCGTTTCTGAGAGGGTCCGCATGCTAAGACCTCCGCACTGTATTTAAATAACAGTGGGCTTTGCACCGGGAAGATCGAGATCCAGAAAGCCCATCTGCATGAATGACTCGCCTACGGCCAGTCAAAGTCCTTGCGATGATCCTATCTGATGCGTTCCTTTCGCGTCCTTGAACATTTGACGTAGCCGACAATCTCTTCGATTCTGTTGGAACTTTGTCCCCTTGGCTCACATGACTCACAGGGGCGTCGGAAAGTGGATGACACGAATATCTTACCTTCCGAGGAGAGATAGCATCAAGGGCGTGACACTCTGTAAATCGACTCGCTCCACCTGATCGCCTCTCCTACCCCGTAGGACGACCCGCTATCGCGGAGCGATTGCGATCGATGGAACGCTCTGTGAAGCTCTCGATCGGGGGAGACTATGTTTTATTAGGAGAAATCGCTACCTGACCATGAGACGTGTCACGTGCTTCGAGACAGCGAGGGGAGACGCCTCATCCCGTGAAGGTGAGACGGGGACGGGGGACGGGCCGCAATAATTGACATATCTGCTCTTTCACGCATGGGAACGAGGACATCCAGCGCAGTCCTGGTTTGCAGGACCACCGAGAAAGCGAAATGAGCAACAGCGGACGCCAGGAAAGAGCGCGCCGAAATCCCAGAACATCCGGTCATCGATCAGAGGTCACGGAAGGGTTCATCGTCGTTCCAACTGGGGATCAACACCGGCGCTATCTGTGGAGGTAACCCGTCATTGGCAATGGGTCTCTCGTTATGAATAGTAACCAAACATCTTGACCAAGCGTATCTGATAGACTTTCCGGAGCAGAATCTAGCGTCAGAATGGAGAGGGTCCTATCGCTGGATGATGGCAGTTGCCTGCGAACCAGACTGGGCCTCAAATTGAACTCGAAGCGCGCAGTGGCGGTTCTTGACACGCCGACTCAAACAACGAGAAGGAAAAAAAGGAGAAGTGTCACGTTCGAAACTTCTAGATCTCTTGTGAGCGAGATCGAATGGATAATAATCGGAGAGAGGGTCATTGTTTCGGACCCTTGGCCTTCTCGAAGACCGTCGGAGATGCCCTCGGATCGTAGCCGCGAGAATGAAGCCGCTCGACGTTGCCCCCCAAGTGACACGACTAAACTGGTAGCAACGAACTCGATCCTCATGAGGGGCTTGCCACAGGAATCGGAATAGCTGGCGACCCTCTTGATGGACGTCGATCTGCATATAAGCCTTTGCAATGTCGGCCGAGATGACGATGGGGTGCAGTCGGGAATTCAAGAGCACCGACACCAAGTCCGCATTGTACTTTGGGCCCGGCAATAGGTAGAAGTTGAGAGGATAGGCGTCGCTAGCCGCGGAAGAGCAATCGAATACTCCACTTCTCGGGGTTCCCTCGCGTGGTGAGGACCGAATGATGAGGCATGTGATATGTCCCATCAACATCGTTCGAGGACTCGGGACGGAACTCTCGAACCTCCGATGCGTAGCCCTCGTTGACAGATTTGCTAATTTGCTGATGATATCTCCCGTACCGGGGTTCTTTCGTAGATGAGAGACCTGCTTCCGGAGGCGATCTAAGGCGACCTGTCCGTTGTTCTTCAGCTCGGCGGTGGAATCCTTTTTCGGGAACGAGACCGTGTATCACTTCCCATCGTACTGGAGCCTTTCGTTGAGTTGCTGGATGGCGCTCTCCTCGGCCGCCGTCAGGTCGCCAGACTTCGACTCGTCGCTGGTTCCTATCCCCTCGAGCAGCCATAACCTTTGAACATCGTTGGGCGGGACCGAGAGCGTCGCAGTGCAACATTGATCCTGGATGGCGATTACCGTGGCCTTGACCGAACCGTGCGCCTGGATCGTTGTGGTGTTTCCCGAGACCAGTCCCGCGACTGACCAACCCAGGCACGAATCGTTTGCCCAGATTAAGCCGCAAACCGGCACTGGTGGACTTCTTGAGAAGATCTTATGAATCTGGTCCATACCGACCAGAAGGGCCGGTGCTTCTTGCTCCCACTCTCCGACCAGCGAGCGGTCGGCGACGGGATGAGTTAAAATCGGCGATCGCCGCGGATACCCCCGGGCTTCGCATTTTGCGGATTGACACGGAAGTCGTGCTCGTAAGCGAGAAGCTCAACCACTCGGTCCGTTCGGGTACTGCGGAGCTGTATGCGAAATCTCCCGGCAGTGATAACAAAGGAGTCGGAAAAAGCCTCGATCGCCAGATCCGCACGCGGCACCGGACTCTCGTTGACTAGCAACCCTCTGATGCGGGAAGCAACAAACGTGAGAGTGCTGTCGTGATCGAGGAATATCCTTACGGGAACTAGCAAGCCGCCGTTGATAACGTACGCGGAACCGGTATACATGAGCGTACTCTCGGCGACATCAAGGCAGTACGAAAACCCCGACGCGACGGGGGCCGTTCCGCCAGCGGTCCGATCTCCGTCCGCATCTCTGTGCATAGATGTGTAGTGCTTGTAGGATTTGCACACGGATGCCGCGGACCCCTACAGTCGGCTGGCTTGGGATGCTTCCGTCTGGAGCATCCCAAGCCAGCGGCAGCGTTTAAGTGGGGCAGCGTTTAAGTTTCTCCATTCTCTTTTCGTGGGTCAGGAACGCGGTACACCTAGATGAGTTATGTGCCATCGCAAAACAGGCACGGTCGCGGCTCAAACACTCGATTGGTTCGGCGGGTGTTTATCGCGCACACCGTTGCATGCGTGCGTCCTCGCTGATAATCGCCTGCCGATCTCCGCGACTTCACCTCCTCTCGTCGCACACCTGGCACGGGGCATAGAGTCGCAGAGGTGCACCCACAGCGGCCGCCAGCTGCACGAGAGCGGGCAGCCGGCGCATGCCAGTGACGTCATCGGCATTTTGCACTCGCGGCAGGGCTCGTAGCTCCATGAGTACCCGAAGTCTCTCACTTCCGATTCGCACGTAATTAGTTTCCAACAAATCGAGCGCTACGTCATAATTGGCCTCAGTCAGCTCCAGAGTCTCGATCAACTGCTCAGGCTCGCCTGTCAGATACTTCCGGGGAGCGATCAATCGAACTATGGCCGGCGTGTTTCGCTTTGACTCAATCCACCATTTCGAATGAGTGATGAACTGGCGCTACAGAAGGCGATCGCCACTGGAGGGCTCAGGTGGCAAATCGAGCGGTTTTGAGAACATCTCGAGGCCAGACCAGGTCGCCAGCGAAGCCGTGGGGACCGAATCCGTCAGAGATTGCTTCGAGACGAGACGTCTGTTTGGTAAAGGAAGATAATTCTCCCCGCCTCAAGTGGCCGCTTGTGGGTGTCGAGGCTGCGCATCCCGGGTCGGAGAGATCAGGGTATACACCGTACGTTTCGCTGGAGGCACCGTCACCCGC